GGTGTGTTGAGGAGTCAATAAAAAGTAAAGAAATGAGAGTAATGAATAGTAAGCAATTTTAGGAAATGCTTACTGAAGGGGCAGAGAAGATAGGGTTGAAGCAAATGGGGTAGTTAGGGTTGAAGTCAATTTGTGGCTGGGAGAGAGTTGGCAGTGTTTCTGGACTAAGAGAAAGGAGCCAGTGAAGTTGGAGAAACTTCACAGCAGAGACGAGGCCTGATGAATGTAGAAAACTTCTAGCAGAGACAGGAAGGAAGGGCTCCTGGGACTCAGGGAGAGAGTTGAAGTTAGGGAAGAGGATGGACAGTTCTTTCCCCTCGGAGACTGTGGGAGACAGGTCATAGGTGTTCCACATACACCTCATAAAGGAGATTCAATATTTGCATCACTGGAATACCCAAACAAAAAATAAGGGAAGAACACATTTTTAAAGGTATGAATCAGAAAAATATTTTTAGTTTTGAAGGAAAAATAAATAAAACTTGTAACTACATATTTGAAACAGTGCACTGCAGGCTAGGAGAAACTGTCCCAGAAAGTCAACAAGAAGGCATATTCTAGTAAAGTTACTCAACTGTAAAGAAAAAGATACAATCTTTTGGTGAATAGGCATTAAGGTCAAATCACTTGTAGGGAGAAAAAAATTTAGATTGGTTTCAAACCCTCTACAGAAATCTCAGCTCCAGGGGTAGTGAAGTGAACTAGAAGATCCTGAAGGAAAGGAGTTGTACACCAGAAATCTCATATTCACCACACCTTTTTCTTTTCTTTTTTTTTTTTTATCCTCACCTGAGGACATTTTTCAATATTTTGTTCAGATAGAGTGGGAGGGAGAGAGAAACATCGACATGAAAGGGACACATCAAGTGGCTTCCACCCACATGACCCAAACAGGGCCGGGGACAAACTGCATCCAAGGTACATGCCCTTAGTGGGAACCAAACCCGGGTCTCTCCAGACCACAGGCCGACACTCTAACCACTGAGCAAAACTGGCCAGGGCTCACCACACCTTTTTCAAATAAAAAACCTACAGATAGTTTTGAAAATAGGAAGGAAAAAAACCAAACAAACCTCAGAAAATATTGTTCTCATGATTTCTTTTGAGGAAACAACTAGAAATCAAATTTGAACCAGCCAAGAAATGCCTGAAAGTTTTACAGTAAAGAACTGGAAATGAGCATTGACTGTATTTAACTATAGAAATGAGACTAAAACTTATGTGACATTAGGTACCAAACTGAGTGGAAATGTCATGGAAATGTAGTAATAAGTCAGCTAACAAAAATAGGAAGCCAAGAACAATAGGTAAGTTGTTTGCCTCACCTGTACTAGGAGATGAAGATAGATAATTTAAGCAATTCAAACATACTTTTTGGTACGAATAGAAACACTAATAAAGATAATACTATCCATAAATATCAGAGAATGGAATTAAAGGGGAAGAGAAAATACATTCTGTCACTATTCAGAGTAGGAGACTTATAGATACTACATAAAATAGAAAGAACCAAGAATAGGAGGGTTATATAAAGTTATCATTATAATGGTTGCACTAGGGAAAAAACTTACATAATATCAGAAGCACCTGCACAAAACAAAACAAAAATGGAGTGTATCATTAAAAAACGTAAGAGAAATTATAGAAACAAATCATATGACAGCTAATACCAAACAAATATATGATTTCAATAAATATAAATGGCCTAAGCTTACCTTAATAAAGGATAAGGAACTTCAGGTTGTAGCACATAGCAGAGATCAAGCCTGCACTGTATACAAGACATATCTAAAATAATAATTCAGAAAAGCTGAATTCAGATAAATATACAAAAAAAACCACCACAACAACAAAACAATAGGGGTCCAGCCTAAAATTAGACAAGTTGAAATTCAAGGAAAAAACGATTAAACAGTGCAAGGAAGGGCATTTAATTAGGCTAAAGTCACTTGTTCACAGTGAAGATGTACCTATTACAAATCTCTCACATCAGCTTATATAGTGTTGAGTTCTATAAAGCAAAACCTACAAATGATACATGGAAAAAGAGACAATCATACTAGTAATTAGAAACTTCAGTTTGCTCTCAATTTAGGAATACATGATAATAATAATAAATATAAAATTGATATATAAAGAGCTCAGTACTCTCAAAATGTAGAATGAACGTTTTATGTGCTTTTGGAATAGTCACAGGAATGACAGCATGCTAGGTCACCAAAAAGCCCGATGGAGACAATTCAGCAATGTCTGTCAAAATGACAAGTGCATATACCTTTTGACCCGGAAATTTTACTTTTAGATATTGATTATATAGATATACTCACACAAACATGAAATTACCTATTTATAAAATTACTTGTTTTACAAAATATTTTGTATGGTAAAATATTGAGAAGACCTAAATGTCAACATGTCTGGTTATATAAAATGTCATACAACAATACATTAAAATACAATGCAGCTGAAAAGGGGCTGAAGAAATGTTTTAAGTACTAACAGAGAAAGATCTCTAGGATATATCTTTACATAATAAGCAAGATGCAGACTATGTGTATAATATACTACCATTTTCCCCTACCTCAAAAAAGTGGGGAAAGCTTATTTACATACGCTTGTGTACAGTACACAACCAATCTCTGCAAAGATACATAAAAAGTAGCATCAGTGGTTACTTGTTAGTGGAATATGAACTGGACAGATGGAGAATGGACTAGTAAGTAGACAAAAAAATAGACTTTTAAAAATGTGTGTGATTCCATGTCGCTATATTTTCTATACAAACATCTAGAAAGAAACTAGCTTACAGTGGCATAGGAGACAAAGCAATGAATTCTCCCTTGGGGAATTGGAGGATGCATTCAAAATGTGTAAGATTTGAACTGAGACTTGAAGGATGAGTGAAATTTAACAAGTGGAGAAGATTGGAAAAATTATTACAGGCAAAGGATATGGGTCATACAGAGGCATGAGAATGTGAAAGTGAACCTAGAAAATAGGGATTGACATTGAGTCCGTGAGGGCAACAGGGGGCATCAGAGGAATGGGAAATGGCTCAGAAGAGAAATTTAGAAAGTTTAGGTGCAACCATTTGAAAGATGCTTGGATGTTATGCTAGGAACCGTTTGGTTTCATTTAATAAACTTGAATGTCTGTATGGCCCATTCCATGTGCTAGGGGCTGCAGAAACGAGACTGTCTTCTGGGCTAGTGGTTCTCAATCCTATTGCATATTAGAATTACTTGGAGAGCTCTAAAAAATGCTGATACCGGGCCCCCACTCCACACAATTCAGTGAGAATTTTAGGGTGTAAGGACATGGCATCAGTAGTCTTTTAGAAAAGACTTACCAGGTGATTCTAATCACATGCATTTAATTTTGAGAATGCCACCTCCCCCTCCCCTCCCCTTCTTTCTCCTCTTCCTCATTTTAAGGAAGGAAATAATACAGTGTAGAAAGTAGTTGTGACATACATCTGGAGAAGTCTCTGAACTAGAAGCAAGAAAATGAGATTATAGAAACAAGAGATGATAAAGCCTTTAAAAAGTGTGGTTATTTGAGGCTAGTGCAAAGTTTTGCATTTAAAAGATATTTAAGGCCCTGGCTGGTTTTGCTCAGTGGTTAGAACATTGGCTCATGGACCAATGAGTCGCAGGTTCAGTTCTGGTCAAGGACACGTACCTCAGTTGCAGTTCGTCCCCAACCCTGCTGGGGTCATGCGGTTGGCAGCCAGTCGATGTGGCTCTATCACATCGATGTTTCTCTCCGTCTCTCTCTCTCTCTCTCCCTCCCTCCCACTCTATCCAATAATAAGTAGAAAAATATCCTTGGGTAAGGAATTAAAAAAAAAGATATTTAAGTAAGAGAAATCCACAAGGCTTGACCACTGATTAGGTGGAAGGGATTGAGAGTGATAATGAGCCAAAGATATCTAGCTTGGATGGCTGGGTATGTGGTAATGCCATTAGTTAAAAGAGAGAATGCACTAGGAAGTACTGGTTGGGGGTGAGTGCAGGTATAGAAGCAAAATAATGGATTCAATCTTGGGGAAAGTTTGCCTTGAAGGTACCTGCAGTTTCTAAGATGTACCAAGAGGCAGTTGGATCTGAGCATAGAGGAAAAGGCACCATTTCAAAATCTTTGCAGGCCATCCACACCCGAAAACTTTTCAGCCGAGAACAAATCCAACCCTTAGAGTCAGAGTCCAGTTTGGGAGATAGGGTACTTACAAGAGCAAGGTAAATATTCCGTCCTAGAAAATCTGGGCCGAGCTGGATACCCCAGTAGAAGAGTCAAAGATAATGGGTACACTGACAGGGAGGTGTACGTGGATCCCCAACCAGGGTTTCAACCCAAGGAACCGAAGCTGGGCCTGGGGTGCAGAGACAGCGTTGTTCTTTAGCCTCTCTCTGTGTATTTCATTCATGTCTCATCATTTTAGGGTAACAGTTATCATGGCCAATTTAACCTAAAGGTTGCTGCTTTTTCAGGGAGAGCAAAGCTTCCTCTCTCTCTAGCCATGCCTCTGAGCACAAGGCAGCAGTGGGTGATGGGGAAAGGCGGCACCCAGCGAGTGGGACACAGTTCAAACCACTCTATTCTCAGAAGGCCTTTGACACGCAGGCCTAGAGCTCTGAACTAGACAGAGCTGTTGCTGAAGATCAGAATTCATTTCAGGTGCTGGGAACTCAAAGTAGGAAACCAAAGATCTTCCTAAAGGGGCGATGAGGCCTGTGGAGATGGTGTTTAATACAGGGGCACCCTGAACTGCTCATAAGACATTAGATCTTTAGGGTTTCAACCAACCATTGGGTTCTCTTGTACCATCCAGTCCCCGCTAATCAGAACATCTAAACTGAACGGGACCCCTTAAAAATTATCGGCAAGGATATGCAATCTTGTAATGTCTTTTTTAAGAAATGAAGAATATTGAGTTATTGTAATATGCCAGTTGGAAGTTATTTTGACTCACATTTGTCTAATGGCTTTTTCTGTGAAAGTCTCAGTTTATACCAACAAGCAGGATCGCCGAGTTCACTACCATCTGCCGAACTTCAGCATCTAGGGTGAGTAATTAACAAATGGATTGAGCCATTTGTGTGATGTTTCTCATATAAAGGATAAGACTTATTATCGAGGGGCAAATGTCATCATGATTTGTGAAATTCAGAAAGTGAAGCAGTAATGAATTTTCTAAAAACTGTCACCATTTTTTTTCTTATTAGAGTGATACACGTTTATTAGGGAAAACCTAGAAAATGAAAAATAGATAAGATTTAAATCACCTATTGTCTTACTTCCTGGAGCTAATGACCATTTTAAATATTTTAATATATTTCTTTCCAATATTTTCTATGGGTATATATGATACATGTATTTGTGTGTGTGTGTGTGTGTGTGTGTGTATGTGTGTGTGTGTGTGTGTGTATGTATATAGAATAGAGAGAGAGAGAGATTTATTAGTCTGTGGATATGTATTTGCCTAGAAATGCATTATATGTGTAATTCCTACATTGTTTGTTAAGTATCATATTACATTATATTCCTCAGATGTTAATTCAAATTTAAAGTGTAGAGGGGAGATTTTTCAATCTTTAGATAAAGCTTTCATTTACACCAATCACACAAAAAAATATGAAAAGCTATAATTTTAGTTATTCACATTTTTTAACAGGCAGATGATGGGATTGATAAACCCCAGCCAACATTTAGATAAGTAGATTACTGATACATATGCACCAGGGAGCCAAAGGCAAGTAAATCTCTGTTGGGAGGAAGTCAGGAAGCACACTGTTCTCAATTTGGGGTCTTCTGCATCCTCGAAATTGGATTTGCTGACTCGGCCCAGCTCTGCTGAGTCAGCTTCTGAGGGATCCATTTCTGTGGTATACATTTGCCGAAGTTGGTCCCTAAGTTTGTGCTTTTTAAGATTTTGATTACTAATAAATATTACCTAATGTTATAAGGTTTTTAGGAAAGTGGTGCTTAATTATAAAAAAGCTGACTACCAACAAATAAAAAACGTTCTTTGTTGTTTAAGGAAAATACAAAAGCTCAGAGAATCAGGCCTTCAGGCAGTGGCCTGAAGCATGAGTCTTGTGCATCCTGTGAACTTCGGGCCAGCCACAGAGGCTGGAAGAGAAACCTGGAAGGGACAGACTCGGACGTCGAGTACGTTTCAGAGACTACAGTGATGAGGTCCGCAAGGAAGAAAGTGGGACCACAGCAGAGACATCCAGCAGCCCTGCCAGGAGGTGTCACACCAGCTGCCAGATCCCAGGTGTTTTTCTTTTTCTTTTCTTTTCTTTTCTTTTCTTTTCTTTTCTTTTCTTTTCTTTTCTTTTCTTTTCTTTTCTTTTCTTTTCTCTTCTTTTCTTATTCACCAAATGTGTAGTAACTCATACCTAGAAATAGCATTTGGTAAAGGTTTTACTTCATTTTTCACTCTAGTTAAAGCATATACATTGTAATCTGAGTTTCCTGGACAAGGTCTTAATTCTATTTTTTCTTCTCAGTTTTCTCTTTTGGAGGAAGAGTCAGATTGCCAATATCAGTATATCAGCATTATCTATGGAGAGCCCCCAAAGAACACCTGGATGGGAGCTATGTCTCTCTGTATTTAAGAGAGACAAATTCATGCAGGATACTCATCTTGGATAAACCTGTAAACTTGAGGATTTTGCATTCAATGCGTTATAGCAAAAATGCTTAGCCAAATTCTATAATAGGTCATTACCCCTGTAGTCAAGGTTATGGAAAAATGGGATATAATTTCAGTAGTACAATTAAGTGTTAAGATTTTAACAAGTGTACTACCCAAGAATGTCCATGCATGCAAAAGAGTTTGTTTCTTTTCTTTTCTTTTTTTTTTTCTTTATTGATTTTAGAGAGAGGAAGGGAGCGGGAGAGAGAGAGAAACATCAATGAGAGAGAACATCGATTGGCTGCCCCTGCATGTACCCATTGGGGATTTGACCCACAACCTGGGCTTATGCCCTGACCAGGATTCTAACCAATGACTTCTTGGTGCATGGGACGATGCTCAACCACTGTGCACACTGACCAAGATGAGTTTGTTTCTTTTAAAAGAAATCACTGTATTTTCACTCTTATAGTGTTACTCTTATGTAAGTCCTTTTTGAGAATTAGCCCTCAGATTCAGTTTATAATAATAATACCCACAACTGAGTGAGCATTTACCCTGTGCCAGACTAGTGCTAAATGATTACAGATGTCATTATCTCACTACCATTTTAAAGCTTTCATAAGCCAAAATTGATGGCCTAGTTTATCTGCCTTGTTCATCAAACTTGACTTCTAATGTCTTTTTCCTGTTTCCAAAAATTAAATTCACCCTTCAAGGGTTGATATCAGCCATCATAAAATATATTGAAATGAATTTCCATGGGCTCTCAGATCAGAAACTGATTCAGTCAGCAAGTATCTGCTGAACTTCTGCCCTGCGTAAGATACTCCAACAAGGTATATTCAGCATGGTTCTTTCAGAAGCAGTTATTCTGAACAATAGTTACCTTACAGAAATATCTTACACATCTCTTTGTAATATTTTTGGCAGATGGTGTATAGACTTTTCTTGAATATCTTTAGTGATGGAGACTCATTATCTCCTAAGGTAGCCTTTTCTCATTTCATTTTTGGGCAGCTCATTCTCTTAAAATATTTCAATTCCAGTTCCCTTGAAGTTTTGGCCATACGTACTTTTTTGAGACAATAGAAGCCAAGCTGAATCTTTCTACAATCATCAGAATTTTACTTTAAATTATGTATCATATATATACAAGTTCATATATTCTGCAGATTCTCATTCAATCCTTGTTATGTCCAAAATACTGCATGTTAGTAATACCCTGTTTAAAAATAAGTTTTATCCTTTAACCTTGACTTCCATTCACTAACTGTGATTTCAGGATTTGGGATTTGTTGGTGTATTTTATAGGCAGGTAGTATGATACAAAAACACACAAATGATTAAGAAGTTGAAGTGTGTCCAAGTGTTAGAATATGACATTTTAGACTTTAAATATAGAGATTCACCGAGTGTGTGTGTGTATCATGTAAATGTTCAGTTAATGTATATATACCTGATCCCTGCCCCATTGGCCTTACATGGAGACAGACAATCCAGTAATTACACAGACGGATGTGAACTGCGACTGTGGCAGTTTTTATGACTTAGTAGCATGAGTACTCATAACAGGGAATTTGACTTTATCTGGGAGGACAGGGAAATCTTCCCTGGAAAAGTGATGGCTGAACTTTTAGGATTGAGTTCCAATGAAAGCAGTCCAAGGAGAGGAAGAGCATTTCCAAGCAATGCAAACAGCATTTGCTCAAGAGGGAACATGGTGAGGACAAAGGACCTTAGGAAGACCCCTAAGTTATCATGAGGCAGAGAGATGGACAGGGGCTGGTGTGAGACGGGCGTGGAGTGGCCAGAACCATGCAGGTTCTGTGTATAACCTGTGATAAGAGGTTTTGCATTTATTCTCAAAGCAATGGGCAACCATTGAAGAGTTTCCAGTAGGGAAGTGATGCGACTGGATTTTCCTTTAGAAACGATTGCTTTGGCTGAGTATGGAAGAAGGGTTAGTAGAGAGCAGAGCAAATGCCGGCAGAGCAGTTAGGCTATTACAGTGGCCGCGTGGAGAAATAACAGTAGGGTGGGCTAGGGTGATGGGGCACTGGGGAGAAGTGCACCCACTTGCTCCTTCTGTGTTGTCTTGAGGAGGGAACGCTGACCCATCTTGGTGATGTATAGAAGGTGAAGCAGAGAGAAATGTCAGGAATGGCTATGGGATCTCAGGCTCTTGCACGTGAGGGATTTTAGCATCTTATGACTAGCAGCCTGAGGATGTGGGCATGGGGGATGGTGAGGGAATAGCCAGAGCAGTAAGAGAAGAAATCAGGAATTTGTTTTATTATGAAAGCCAGGAGGGAGGGAATAAAAGGCAGTCCAAGGTGAGTTTGTCAGAGAGGCTAAATTCTATTGAGAGGCCAAAGGCCTCTAAAAAATGTCCATTGACTTAATGACTTAGAGGTCGTTGGGATGATCTCAGGACTTTATTGTTTTTGTTGGCGTGAAGAGGGTAAAAGATTAGAAGGGATTGATTAGCAAGTGGAGGGTGAAGAAAGGGAGACTGATTATATGTCACCTCTTGGAAAGGTAAGATAATTTCAGTTCATAAGATGTTTTATACTCACGAAAATCTAGAAGTGAGGTAGATAGGTCAGGAGACTGTGTCATTCTTTATAAGCTGTTGAAAAATGAATTCAATCAGGTTTTAAACTACAGTTGAAACAACTTCCAATTACTTGAGGATTATTTGCAGTAAATTTTTAATATTCTGTCCAGTAAACACAGCACTAGGCATTACCAGTGCCAGAAGAGGTGCAGGAAGTGTAATTAACTTTAATATTAGCCCGAATCATGGGATTAGGAAGGCAGATGTGCTCTGAGTAAATCTTATCATGTGCTCCAGAAGCTTGATAAAAATGGCTGTGGGATTAGCAAATGATTTAGCTCACTTGCACCCCAGTTCAGCTCTGCTAATACAAGTAATTAATTAATTAACCATTCTTCCTAGAGAGTTGTTTTTTTTTATCACGCCCTTGTGTTTCTCAGAAGATTCCACTTCCTTTATCCCAAACAACTTTACACCCATTTCTTGAAAAAAGGGCTCCCACGAAAAGTAATATACTTATTGTTTCCTACATCTGCAACTTATAATTCTTTTTATTTTTCCTCTATGTTCTTTGTTAATTCATTTCACTGAACAAGCAAATATATTAAGGCAGGTGCTGAGGATTCAGAGTTTGACACCTTTCCTGCCCTCAAGAAGCTAAGAGTCTACCTTTAACCAGTCTAATTAAAAGAGACCTTTCCCTGCATCATAAATGTTTCATTCAAATGGTTTCTCACCTTTCATGTATGAAGATGTCCTTTTAATATCAAAAGAATGACCGGAGATATATCACGTAACACTAGGCATGTCTAGTATCCATTAAGAACTACATAATAAGAGAAAGCTACCCTAGGTATTTTGAAATGAATGCATATCTTATTCCCTCCAGCAACACCTCCATAAATTTAAAGAACAATGTGTATATTATATAAGATATCATTTATCCAGTGTATGGGCAGTAATTCATGCAGATCCTTTGCACAATACTACAAGCCCTTTGATTCACTGTTGAGCACCATAGTCTGCACCACTCATTTCATACTTAATTTTTCTTGTGCTATTCTTTTTTAGTTGTTGTCTTTTATTATTTAACCTTTACATAAGCTTATCTAGATCATATACTTCTTGAGAGCAATGATCAGACATTGAACTTCCTCTGATTATCCTACAGAAGTCTGCTTCTGTACAGAAGTTAATAGAGGGTTTACGAAGGAAGTTGAATGTGTACCGATTAGTCATTGACTGCTACTAAACCCTGTATATTTGTTGTTAATGCCTTGCTATAGGCCTCTTCTTGGGAAATGAAAAGGAAGCAGAGTCAGAACCTTGTGCAGCAATGTCAGCCTTTGATTGAAGTTGAAACCAGCAGCCGCGATCCAGATATAATCCCGGTGAGATAAACTTTACTGACACCTTGAGATTTATTCACATTCATCAGGATTAGATGAACCCAAGAAGCATTTTACATTCGCGCCTCAAAGTAACGGAAACATTTAATTGAATGACCTAGTTTTTAGGGGAAGAAACAAGATTTGGGAAAGTTAGTTACTTGTGCAAGGCTACACAAACTAGTAAAAATAAAACTGTAGCTTATATCCTGACTGCTAGCTCATGATGCTTTTCATTTTAGTTATTAGGGTTTGAAAGCATTAACATTATGTAAATACACATCAGTTATGTATATAACTTGAAGGTCATCCCAAAACCTGCATGCCCAAATGCAAAGCATATGAACCTTTCTGTAATTTACAATATGATTGTCACTAGAAAGTGACATTACAAATTGACTTAATCTAGACCACTGTTCAAAAGCCCTGCTAAGAGAAGTCTATTTAAAAAAATGTGGACATACTTTCCATTTACTCCCTTTAATTTGGTATACCTGACTCTAACTTGGTAGTCGATATCAAAAAGCTATATATCTAGACTCTTCTACCGTAGACCCAACAGAGCTGCTTTGCCTCACTGAACCCAGGGCAAAAACCTTGATGTTGAGGAAGAAGTCAGTCAGGACTGACCATATAAGAAACACTTCAGCCCTGGCCGGTTTGGCTCAGCGGTTAGAACGTCAGCCTGCGGTCCTGAGAGACCCGGGTTCGGTTCTCGCTAAGGGCACGTATCTCGGTTGCAGTTTGTCCCCGGCCCTGGTCGGTCGTGTGGGTGGCAGCCACTCGATGTGTTCCTTTCACATCAATGTTTTTCTCTCTCTCTCTCTGTTCCTCTCTCTCCCTCCCACTCTACCTGAACAAAAAATGGAAAAATGTCCTCGGGTGAGGATAAAAAAAAAAAAGAAACACTTCATCTGTGAAGCCAAGTTAAAGACATTGTCCATTGTGTTGTATAGTGTCCTTTGTATTATAATACAAAGTTCATTAAGATATTAGAATTTAATGCCAGGGAAAAATCTATTTGATATTTTTTATGAGAACATGAATTTTATTACTTACTATAATTCCCTTTTGACCTTTATTTGCACGAAGCTTATAGCTACACTTGAAATAAGAATGACTGCAGTCACCTAGATGGTTGCTGTTTTTGAATGATAACATAATGAGAGCGTTTAGAAAAGTCTGGCCTCATTGTACATGTCTCAAATAGCACCTCAGAATGCTATTTGGAATTGTGGGTTAGATTTCAGTTACAAATGAGCCAATAAAGTCTCCTGGCTGAAGCTCAATTTCTGTGCCTATCAGCAGAAAATTATTGTCATAAAATACATGGTTTAATAATAATTGGTTTTATTTAAAAAAATTGTTTCATTTCAAAAATTTCAAACATAGTGCAATCAACTTCTATGTGCCCATGTTTCATCTCCAACAATGATCATCTCGTGGCCAGTCTTGTTTCATTCGTGTCCACTGCCCATTACTCCCAGGCATCATAGCACTTCATCCATAAAGTGTAAGTGTTTTAAGAAGCCATCCGAAGGAAGTTGAACAGAGGTAGGAGTGATTTGTCAAAGGGAGCAGGAAAGTACCTCCTTACTGACAGTAAGGGACAACTAAATTAAGAATGTGAAGAAAGGGAACACCAAAGTATTTTCTAAAGGAAAGGGGGAAAATTTTAATCAGAGGCTCAAAAGGAAGAGAAAAACTGCAACTCCTATTGTAACTAATGCCACTTTTATTTACCCCTTTGAAGCAAACTATGGTACAGCTGTACCTATGAATAGTGCTAGTCACCACCTGCTTTGCAGAATTCTCAGAGTCTTTGCATGTTTTTTTATGTAGCCAAGGTGCTTTGTCACCTTTCCAAGCTTTTAGGTAGTGCTTTTCAAAATTAGATATGACATTTATATTAAAATTGTTGTCTTTTTTGTAATATTTCTCAAGTTCTTAAGTGACTTGTGTGTATGTGTGTGGTATCATCTGAGTCCCTATGATCCTAGTAGGAAGTCTGTTTTGAAACTCATGGTGTCTAATTAATTTGGATAAGTAAGGATTATCCAAAGTTGCATATTAATTTCTCCATTTAACTATAGTTGCAGTAATTTTCAGTAGGAAATAATTCTGAGTGTTTGTCTGTCTGTACTTTCTTAAACTCAGAAATTAAAAATTCTTCTTCTTAACCCTTGGACTTCTTCCCAGTTACCCTCTATACTGTCTGTGTGTGTGTGTGTGTGTGTGTGTGTGTGTATGTACGCACACACGCGCGCATGTACTTTAATTCCCACCCAGTACCTGTCACATTTAAAGAAGGATGGCACTCAGGGCTACCAGTGCTACAAGAGGTTATCACTTAAGGAAGAACAATTAGCTCCACACAGGTCACTCCACCACCTCCCCATAAGCAGGTGGTTTTTATTATTTTGACAACTTTACTGGGACCCAGGGTCTTGTTTTCAGGTGTAATGGGCTCAGAAATATATATTCAGCACAGGAAAGAAAGTTCATCTCACAGGGATGATTTTCCATTATCCAAACTCATGAGACTTTTGTATGAAATAATAATGGCAGTTTAGTCATTTAAAAGGTGAATACAGCCTCCATGCAATTGGAAGCCTTAGACTGTCTTTACACTGTGCATCCTGTCCCTTTACGCCAATCTGCATGGGCTAGCCAATTGCAATCTGACAGTTGCCGGTGAGCTGTGTACCTGAATATTCAAAATGCTTCCAGCTAAAACAGCCTGCTGTGTCCACTCCCCAAAAAAGACATGGGGTTATGTTACCAATGCGACTATAACACTAAGAGGGCCCAGCCCCCTTGCCTGTGTCTACTGGTGCTCCTATGAGTGTATTTTTTTTTACCTTGTATGGAAGACGAGTCCATTCTGATCAGCATGTTTTTTCTTTTGCTGTGTTAATAACATGTCAATCTCCCTTCTGAAAGGATTTTTTCCATATTAGGGTATTTCATATTCCTCTCTTCCAAGTTTCAGGTGCACCTTGCCCTCTTACTGACAGTTGTGCAATTTTGAGTGAAATGATAAGAATACTGATTGCTTTTCAGATTTATGTTGAATCTGACCACTGCTGATTATTTCAGCCATGTTCTCATTCATTCTCCAAAATCATCTCATCCGCTGTGGCTCCGGGTTACAACACTTTCGGCTGTTTTCCTAAAGCCTCTCCCTCCCAACCCCTAACTCTTGATTGAATGCTCTTTGTGTTCCTTTTCTCCAAGGCCTACAGTCTATTGAAGCTATTTGTAAAAATCACATTCGTTTGTTTTTTTCTTTTCCCTGTGGGATAATTCTTACTTTCTAGTCATTTTTAATGTTTGTCTCTTTGCTCAACACTTTGTGTCACATTCAACATGCTCCCAAGTCATCCGTGTGGTGTTGGGCTTCGTTTTCCTTGCGTCCAATTGCTTGATCACACACTTTGTTGTTGTCACTTCTGTGGCATTTTTTTTCTTTTTTGACATTACTTTTACTTGCTCTTTTAGCCAGTACAGGCCATTCATGCTCAAAGTCCATGCACTGAGTGTTCTTGATCAGACATGCAGGTGATTCGGAGCTTGAAGCCTCCATCAGGGACGCCGTTAAAACTCCAGCCATTTCCTTGAGATTAAAAAAACTGTCATGATAACCCACTGAATGGGAGAGCATATTCACCAATGATATGTCTGATAATGGGTTAATATACCAAATTTATTTAAAAACACCCCCCCAAAACAATAATCCAATTAAAGTGGACAAAGGACTTGAATAGACACTTCTCCAAAGAGGACATATAGATGGCCAATAGACATATGAGAAGATGCTCAACATCATTAATCGTCAGAGAAATGCAAATTAAAATCATAATGAGATATCTCACATCTGTCAGAATTGCTATCATCAATAAATCAACATACAAGTGTTGGCGAGGATGTGGAGAAAAGAGAACCCTCCCACACTGTTGGTGGGAATGCAGATTGGTGCAGCCACTATGGAAAGCAGTAGAGAGTTTCCTCAAAAAATTAAAAATGGAGCTGCCTTATGTCCCAGGGATTTCATTTCTGGGAATTTATCCAAAGAAACACAAAACTAATATGCAAGAATATATGCACCCTTATGCTGCAGCGTTATTTACAATAACCAGGATTTGGAAGCAGCAAAGTGTCAGTAGATGAGTGGATCAAAAAGCTGTGGTACATTTACACAATGGAGTACTACTCAGCCATAAAAAGGAAGGAAATCTGCCCTGGCTGGTTTGGCTTAGCAGTTAGAGCATTGGCCCACGGACCAGAGAGGCCTGGGTTTGGTTCCCGCTAAGGGCATGTACCTTGGTTGCACTTTGTCCCCAGCCCTGGTTGGGATTGTGTGAGTGGCAACCACTTAATGTGTCTCTCTCACATAGATGTCTCTCTCTCTTTCTTCCTCCCTTTCTCCCTCCTGCTCTATCTCAAAATAAATGCAAAAGTGTCTTTGGATGAGGATAAAAAAAAAAAAAGGAAGGAAATCTTACCTTTTGTGACAGCATGGATGGACCTGGAGAGTATTATACTAAGTGGAATAAGCTAAGTGAAATACAGAAAAAGACAATTTCACTTATATGTGGAATCTAATGAACAAAACAAACCAACAAACAAAATAACAGCCCACTCATAGATACAGAGAACAGACTGATAGCTGTCAGAGGGGTGGGGAGATTATGGGGCTGGGTGAAAAGTTGAAGGAATTAAGCAAAAAATAAAATAAAAACCTGATAGTCCTGGCAAATTTGGCTGAGCAGTTAGAGCGTGAACCTGCGGACCCAAGGGTTTTGGGTTCGATTCCCAGTCAAGGGCACATACCTGGGTTGCAGGTTTGATCTCAGCCCTGGTTAGGGTTGTGAGGGAGGTAACCAATTGATGATGCTTCTCTCTCTCTCTCTCCCTCTCTTCCACTCTTCTAAAAGTCAAAGGAAAAATATCCCTAAGTGAGGATTAACAATAACAAAAAAACTCTCATAGACACAGACAAC